TGAATGAATCGCCCGTTTAAATGATTCGGTTCAATCGCAATGACTCACTTAATAGTGACTTGCTGCCACCTACTGGCAGTTTTAATTTCACATTTAAGGTACCTTTTCATTTTTTTAATAATTTCAAACATAAGTTTTCAGTATTATGTTTAAAATATCAAAACATTATTTATGCATTTGTAACGGCAGGTTAAAGTATTTAATGTCCCTCAGAGCTGCATTAAACAGTGTGTAAATGCATCTAAATGACACTTCTAATGCAGCTTCTGTGTTTCCTCTGCATTGCAAAGATCAATTTTGTTGATACTGATTTCATTGCTTGGTAACAACCCAAATGCAAGAATTTGAATTTGAAAAAAATAGCTTAAAGGTAAAAATGCCTATAAAACTTGTTGGAAATGATTAATTTCTATCACTGCTGTGAACTGACCATACAGAATATGAAGAATATAAAAAAAAAAACTCAGGAGACAGCTGTCAGCACAATTTGAAATAAGATATCAGCACAATAACACATTCAGCAAAATATTGTCTAATTATCATTATCGATAAAATCCCTGTAAATTATTGAGATATCATTTTTTGTCAGTATCGCACACCCCTAATTTATGTTATTTAATTGATATAATAATTTATTGTTAATAATTGTTTAAATATAGTAATTAATACTTTCGACTCATCCATTTTCTTAGAAATGGTTTAATGTCTGAAATACAAAGTTTATCATTTTATAAAACTTTGTTTTTGTGAAAACTTGTATCTGAACTGTGAATGATGCCTTTTACAGTAATTTTACAGTTTAATATGGTACTATAGACATTGCCCTACCCCACTCATATGGTATTAATTGTATTTGTGCAGGTCTTAAAAAGATCTTAAATTTGAGCTTAAAAATCCTGCAGAAATCCTGTATTAAGTATATAGTGTCTCATTTTTGCGGCATGCATTTTGTGTGTTTCTAGGATTTGAATGTGACCCAGTATCACATTATAATTAATGAGACTCTAAAAGATGGAGATTTGGTGGATGGACTGTATAAAGATACCATGCTTGGCTTCTCGTATCAACTTGGAATTTTCCGGCAAGATAAGAAAGTAAGTTAGTGCTAAATTATTTCAAGTCATCTAAGTAAATCATGCTAAATATTTTATAAATATGGGCTTTTTCTGTCATAGTTGCTTGTAAATGAGGCTGAGGTGAACGTGACTGATATAGAGACCAGTAAAGGTGTTATCCACACTGTGTCTGCTGTCCTGAGCATCCCCAACAACCGCTGTGACAGAGCTACCACCAAAATTATCATTGTACAATATATCTATTTAACCATTTTACTTGGTCATTTTCACCTGTGCCTTTAAATACCAGTTTTAAATGTGTACATTGTGTCTGAAGGGACCTTGCATGGACTGTTTCCACCCAACTGAGAACCCTTGCCCTTCAGGAACAAAAAGACTGGTGAGTGTACAATGTTGACCCAAAAAGTGATTGGATGGCAATATTTTATATTAAAACGGCCATTTTAAAATATGCAATTTTAAAAACTGTTTATATTATTTGAGATGATATAAATAGTTTGATTGTCATTCTTACAAATTGTTAAATTACACAAAATATGAATTTATAAAATATCAATTTAAAATAAAATGACAATTTATCAAATTAAATTGGTTTAAGAAATATCAGTTGGTTTAAGATTTTATTTCTTAAACCATTTTAATTCAATAATTAAAAAGAAAATATATAAATATTTTTAAATTTGATACATTTTTATATTTTAAATTGATATTTAAAAAATTGATATTTTTTTATTTATATGAATTTAGTCATTTGTTTTATGGATTTAACAAAGGAGTCAACATTTTTCCACATTCCCTCTGGAACCTGCTTTAATTTAAAAAAATAAATACAAATAGTTGAAAATAAATAGTTTCCTATTCTTTGTTTATTCTCAGACGAGCCGAAAGAGAAGATGCATGTACAGTCGAGTATATCATGGAGAGACACTGCTGATCATTGGATGCAAAGTATCTTGTGAAAAAGTCAACATTGTACGTACATGATACATTCATTCACTTTTCACATTTAGTCCCACATATCCACAAGCAGCTAGAGCGTTCTGGAATTTCATTGTGCTTGATGTGATGACATCGACCTTATTTTGCCAGCTATTTTCTCTGAATGTGCAAGACTTCTGATTCATTAGCTTCTATAGCTAAATAACTAAGAATAACAAAGTACTGAAAACTGCAAAACTATTTGCGCTACAAATCAGTGTTTATAATTACAAAAATACATAAGAAATACTAGTTTGCAGTGTCAAGCAAATGACAATGAAAGCCTCACACATATTTCAGTTTAAATTAGCCATATCCGCTTTTATTATAAAAATAAGGTAAATATCAGAAACCATTTCTCTCTGTTTGCAGGAAAGAAAGTGTTGTGCAGGTTATTATGGTATTACCTGTGAGAAGTGTCCGGGGCCAGAAGGTCAGTCCTGTTTTGGCAATGGTGTGTGTGTAGATGGGATCAATGGCACAGGCGTCTGTCAGTGTAACCAGGGTTTTAACGGCACCGCATGTGAGACTTGCCAAGCAAGAAAATATGGAGTTCACTGTGATCAAGGTATTGAGCACTTAAAAGCACATACTTTCATATACTGCACATTCTGTGAACAATTAGCTCATACAAAGTTTGCATATGCACTATCTTTCTGTTTAGAGTGCAAGTGCGTCAACGGACGCTGCAAAGACGGAGTGGAAGGAGACGGCAGCTGTACGTGTGATCTGGGCTGGAGAGGAATAAACTGCAACGTTGGTATGATGCTCACCTGTCGCACAAATAGTCATACATACATTTTGATGCCTTGTACCATCTGAGTATGTATAAAATATAATCTGTAACTAAAAGTTATGTTGACTCTTTTCAGCTATTACATCAGATATGTGCGGAGGAAAATGCCACAGCAGTGCCAAGTAAGTTAATACAGTATATGATACAGATGGTAGTACAAATAGTACTACCATCTGTATCAAGTAAAAGCTATATTCCCAAAGCATTCTTGGGTAAATCTCATGAAACCTCTAGAGCAGTGGTCGCACTCAATTCCTGGACGGCCACAGCTCTACTCACAGAGTTTAGCTCCAACCAGCTCCAAATCACACCTACTTGGAAGTTTCTAGTAATCCTGAAGACCTTGATTAGCTGGATCAGGCATGCTTGATTAGGGTTGGAGCAAAACTGTGCAGAGCTGTGGCCCTCCAGGAATTGAGTTTGAGATCAATTCTCTAGAGAGCATGTCATATTACACCTCAAAATCAAAAGATAAAAAAAAAAAAGTTAATTTATATTTTTTTATTTTAAATTTTTTACATTAATATTTCCCTTTTACATTATATTTCTCCACAAATTGAAGGAAACATGGCCATGAAAAGTCAATGCAAAAAAAAAAATCATACTCTTAGAAATAGGCATTATCTTTATTCAAAACAGATACGTACTGTTCAAAGGTTTGGGACCGGTAAGATTTTTTAAAAGTTTTTGGAAAAAAAATAAATAAATAAAAATAAAACTTTAAAGTGTCCCATGTTCACTTAAGCTGCATTTATTTGATCAAAAGTACATAGCTCTAATATTGTAAAAATATAACCGTTTGAAAGAACAGTTTTATCTGGATACATTTTAAAATGTAATGTTTTTCTGTGATGGCAAAGCTAAATTTCCAGCAGCCAGTTTACGGTGTCAAATTCCTTCAAAAATTATTGTAATATGCAGACATTTCTTATTTTTTGTGTTTGCTTTTGAAACAATGCAAGTCTTTACTGTATTTTTGTTCAATTTAATGTGTCTCTACGGAATAAAAGTATTGATTTCTTTAAAAATAAATATTGCTGAGTGGTAATGTGAATTTGGGTGAATGTTACTTAAAAAAATAACAAAACCAAATACTCACTCTTGCAGATATAAACTTCTGCTTTATTTCTTTAAAAATCAAGAGTTTGTTAGGCAAACAGTGTCTTTATAGGAATATTTACAATGAGCAACAGGTGTACTTCTCTAATTGGGGGAGTGGTTTGTAATTCGTGAAAAAAAAATTCTTAATTGAGTCCTCTTGGGAACAATGCATTTAGAAAAAAAAATCCCCAAATTCTATATTTCTATAAATATATTTTATAAATTCTACTAAATACCTATATTTCTAAAGATGGGTACATCTATTGCTAATTGCAAAGACCTTATCTACAGTTGATTAAGCACTAAAATGTGACCTGGATTTGCTTTTGTGATATTTATACTTTCTATGCTCTTTAAATATTGCGTTAATGACTTGGGTTTGATGTGTGTTGTAGCTGCTTGCTGAATGTGGTGGACAGTACATATTACTGTAGTTGTGCTGCAGGGTTTCAGGGCAACGGCGCACATTGCACAGGTAAGTGTCTCAAGAAACATTCGAACACTAACATTTGTAGCCAACGAGTCTAAATGGCGGTTTAATGTACTATGTGGTGTTATCTCCAACCCAAGCGGTGGATGCATGTGCAGAGAATAACGGTGGCTGCTCCATCCATGCTGTGTGTAAGCGAACTCTCCCAGGACGGAGAATATGCGTGTGCCACCCGGGTTATGCAGGCGATGGAAAAGTATGCGTTTGTAAGTGTGTGTCTGTTTAATATCCAGTTTAAAGGGTAGTACACAACATATACAGGTGCATCTCAATAAATTAGAATGTCGTGGAAAAGTTCATTTATTTCAGTAATTCAACTCAAATTGTGAAACTCATGTATTAAATAAATTCAATGCACACAGATTGAAGTAGTTTAAGTCTTTGGTTCTTTTAATTGTGATGATTTTGGCTCACATTTAACAAAACCCCACCAATACTGAAATAAATGAACTTTTCCACGACATTCTGATTTATTGAGATGCACCTGTATATTGTGATTGCAGTGCCGTGTATTATAAATGAAACTAACTTATTGCATTTGATGTGAGCTAATGTGTGTGTTTGAAGCCATCAATCCATGCCTGGATGGTAATAATGGGGGATGCCATGCAGATGGTGACTGCATTCATACAGGCCCTAATAAGGTAGGAGGCAAATATTAACGGACCATTCAAATAGGGACTTCTTCAGGTTTTATGTAAATGTAATATCCAATTAAAGAAATTGAAAGAACAAAATAAAGGGAACCCAACACATCATTGTAAATTAAACGCAGCACAAATACTATCAACACAGTATAAACAATAGCACATTATCATTACTGTAATGCAAAAGAAAAGAACTGGGGACTAAATGCGTTCACAAAATCAGAGGAAACAGTTGTCTCAAATGATGTAAAATATTTGGCGTACGAAATGACGAGACACAATTGAGAAAGATTTGAGACTCATCCATAGAATATAGTTGAAGTAATGGCACTGTACATTAATTTACTTAATTTGTTCCCAGACAGCATGTTACTGCAAACTAGGCTTTTCTGGGGATGGAAAGCAATGTGAAGCCATCAATGTATGTCTTGAGGTACGTGCTTTTGATAACTGCATTAAACTGACTTTATTAGTGGTTCCCAGCTGGTTTTACGTCATCACACAGAATATCACGTGCATCAACAGCACCAGAGTTGTTGACTGAAACCAAATTTGTACTTAATCAAAAGACCATTTCTTAATGTTTTAAGTCAATAGTTTGTTCACTCATTCTGAGTCACAACCCACCAGTTGAAAACCACTATTAAAAGTGACATTGTTGCAGCTCAAAGATTAACATGAACATGGAACTACTATTACTTATTTTCTGTCAGAAAAACGGAGGATGTCACAGGTACGCACAATGTACCACGACAGGACCCCTGGAAAGGAACTGCACTTGTAGGCCTGGCTTTATTGGAGACGGAGAAACCTGCAAAGGCACCCTGCAAAGAGTGAGAAGTACAGCAAAATATAAACAGGCACACAAGTGAACATACTTTAACAGTAACTATTTTCTTTCATTTTAGGAGATTCGAAACCGAAACTTAGGAGACTTTTACACTGAACTGGTGGTACGCTTATTCTTAATCATTTTAACATGATGTTTTAAGCCTGAAATTCTGAGACTGATCTTACTGAACTTACAGAGAAATAATATACCTGAACTCGGAAGTCGTGGCCCCTTCACAGTCTTTGCACCTAATGCAGATGCTTACAACAAACCAGAGGTAAGACTCAAATGTGATTAGATTAAGCAAAATTGTGACTTCTTCACACTTACAGCAGTAAACTTCAATAGTATTAAAGACTTTTGCTACACTCTTAAAACTTGTGTTGGAAACACATTACTTCCCATCACATCTGTGTGTCTAGATAAGGACAACACAATTATTACTTTTAACAGTGCATTTAAACATTTTAGGATATACAAAACTGTCAGAAATTTGAAATGGCACCAAAAAAAATAATTCACCTGTGGATTATTACTGCTACAATAACATTAAAACTAGTTAGAGTATGAGATGGAGTTTCTTGCATAGGTTCTGGTCTTCAACCACAGCCACGGGTGTTTTGCAGGGGTCATCCATTCAAAGTTGCAAGAACGCAAAAAACCCCCCCACATGCATACCAAATAACAGTTAGTTTTCAAATGGGAGAGGGGCAGCTCATCCGCAAACTAAGAAAAGCATTACACTTTAAAATCTAGTTAGATTTGTGTGTGTGTGGGGGGGGAGATAAAAATTAGGGTATTGCTACATTGGAGTGAAGCGCACCATCATATGGAAATACATGAGGCAAGATTGCAAGCAGCATTCCACATACTGTGCAAAATAAACCTCAACATTTTATTAATTGACAAACTTGGCAAAGGCACTTTTGAAATTCTAATAAAATAAAAGTTACCTGACTTAAGCAGCAAAGCCACCAATGAAAAGTTGAGGTGTGCCTGCTTGTGAAGGGACATAGGCAGCAGTGTGATTGGATAAAATGCTGGGTGGAGAGTCAGGCATCTAATCGTGCTGCTGGAGGGCCACAGTCCTGCAGAGTTTAGCTCAACCTAGTTAAATGCACCTAAACCAGCTTAATTTTTACTAGAAACTGTCAAGTGTGCGGTGGCAGGTCAAAGCTATACAGAAGTCAGACAAGTCAGTAGATATCAGACACTTAACATTAAAGACAACTTGTACTATACAAGATACGGCATTACATTAAACAAAACTTATTTAACTCAAATGGATTGACTTGCTTAGTAAGTAGTAAAGTATAGTAAAGCCTGCCCCTCAGGCTCAAGATGTTTTGATCTTGCAAAATCATTGCTGACCCCAGTCACCCAGCACACAACCAGTTTATCAAACTGCCATCAGGCAGGGGTTACAGAAGTACACAATCCAGAACCAGCAGATTGAGGAACAGCTTTTACCTACAGGTCATCAGAACTCTAAACACTGTAATGCTCACTACACTCCTTAAAAATATGTACACAACACATACCTCATGAGGACTTTTTGTTTGTTTGTATTGCACTAATGTAGAATGCCGAAGCCTCAACTTAAGCATTTCAATGTTCAATTGTCACTGACATTGTACACATGATAAATAAACTTAAAACTTGACTTGTATCGGTAGGTCGGGACAGCTGGTTTGAAAAAAATCGGCACTTCGCATGACTCGTGTTTGTTTACATTGACGTGTACTTATTTGGGATTCAGTAGAATATTTTAGAATAAACTCAACATCAGACAGAAACTGAATGCACGTCACACCTCTATTGCATTTTATCATGTTCTATAGCTGGGGTCTCGGAGACCCCGAACAGCGCACCCAAAATATTTCCGCTACTACTCGCGTCAATTATTAATTATAATCACACTTGTATATTTTATATTGATCAATATGTGAATCCGTTGACAGGACTGTGCATGACACCAGTTGGCACAGATTAAAAACTTTCAAACCATCCTCTGCAATTTGTTAGATTTGGTGGAGAAACCAGATGTCGCTAGTGCGCATTGAGTTAAAAGCTTTGAGTAACGAACCGTTTCTTGGCACAATTTCATGAAAGCCTCAAACGGTTCAGAAAACCTCGATTTCTCATCACCAAAAAGGACCTCCTGCAAAACAATAGGAAAAGTATTTGCGCTTGACTGAGAAATTAAGCATTTAAATAAATAATAATAATAATTATAATAATAATATACTCACCCCAAGTTTTACCCCATGAGCAACAAAACTGCTAACCATACATCAACTGACTAAACTGGCCAATTGCCTAAAGCTGGCTATTTAAATGTTAGCGTACAGGCAGCATGCAAGCTCACTGGCTGACAAATTATGAGCCTATTAGCTCGTTTGCATAGTATGCAATCTGATTGGTTGACATATTATAAATAGAGGACCTATCAGTTTGTGCCATAACTGGCTGGAAGAGTATCCATCAAGTCCTTGTGCCATGTGACTGAATTTAAAGTCAGGAAATAAACACAAAACCTCTAAAAAATATGTCCTAATGAGACTGTCACTGAGACATAGAAAAAGAGAATTACAAACTCGGAAGCTTTAGGATGCATTATGATAATGAGTATTTAGTAAGAAAATATGGTTCATGAATCAGAATCAGAATATAAGCTAAAATATAACCTGGATGTTTTTTCAACAGGTTTTATGTGATTCACCCATTGTTATCTCTTAATGAGTATCATGAATAGTAAGAGGAAATTGTGATGTGATAGCAGGTTTTGTTATTGTCACTGCTATTGTTTAGTTTAAGGACATTGTAAAGCGGACTCGTTCAGAAAACGCCAAAATCCTGAGGTACCACATAGTGGCCTGCCGTGCCCTCCTCCCAGAAGACCTCACACAGCCTCGTAACCTGACCACACTTACCGGTGACATCCTCACCATTAAGTACTCGGAGGTACAGTGTGCCTGATGCATAGACAATTCAGATAAAGATGACTGCATAAGATCCATGTTATGCATATTGACATGCTCGCTATTTGTTTTCAGGATACTATATACATCAATAATAAAGCCAAAGTGGTGTTCAGTGATCTGGAAAGTAGCAATGGGATTTTCCATGAGATTGACACTGTTCTAGTGCCCCCTGGTTTTCAGATTCAGAAAGACAGAGAACAAGACAGCACACCAGTATGTCCCCGATTACTCTGACAACATTCTTTATTTATTTTGTAATGACAAGAGTAATAATCAAGCATGGAATTATGAAATTACACAGATTTTTTTATTTTGTTTGTCATTGTCTTTTTTTTCTGAAAGCGTAACCTCTCAGATGTGGTCAGTCTCCATGGCTTCAAGACATTCTACAAGCTTCTGGAGGTAAAAATATGTATTTCTATCTAATAAAATCCTCTCCACAAAAAAAAAAGATTTTTATGTGTTATTTTTAGAAGAACCCTCTACTTTCTAAAGAAATCCAAGTCTTATATTACCTTGTTTGTTTAAAGGACACAGATACGTTGAAGTTGGTGATGGATCCAATTCATCAGCCTGTCACCCTGTTCCTGCCCACGGATGCTACAATGAGTGCCCTTGCCCAAGAGCAGAAAGACTTTCTGTATGCGATGCATAACCGTGATCAGCTAGCTGAGTATCTTAGATACCACATCGTGCGTGACACCAAGGTTGGTCTGTATCCAGTATGTTGAATTTTTTGGAAGGAGCATGGCTGTATTAATGATCAAGACTAATATAGTACAACAGGAAATTCAGTGTTGACTCCCTAATGCATCATTTAAATGTATTGCAATTTATTGTGTCCACTAGCTCCTGCCCTCAGAGCTCATTCATGCCAGCTCTTTAAAGACTCTGCAGGGCTCAGATCTGTCAGTGGCCTGCATGGGGGAAGAGCATATAGTGAGTACTTTTGGAGGAAAAAAATTACATTTGGCTTGTACATTCATATAGCTGTTTCTTTAATCACTGTGCATCATATCATGCATATTTATCTCTCAGGGAGAGCTTTATGTGAACCATAAAAGCTGTCGGATTGTAAAGAGAAAGCTTGATTTCAATGGAGGCATGATTTATGGCATTGACTGTCTACTGAATCCTCCGAGCATCGGGGGGCGCTGTGACTATAAGCACACCATTGATTTCACTGTAAGTCTAAGTGAAGTTCAAAGCATTTATTACATTATTATTATTACATCTAAGAAGTAATTGTAGTACATTGTACAATGAGTATAGTATGTAGTGTGCAGTTTGCATCAATGCTAAAGTGATCATATCAAATGTACCTTTCTTCCTTGTTTCGGTATCTTGAAAAACATTGTGCTTTTTTTTTTTTTTTTGGTGCAATAGTTAGCATGCAGGTATTGTGGTCGTACTATTTCGGATTGCCCACTTGGAAGCAAGCCAAAGGTACTTTTTATTTTCATTCAAAGCCAAACCTTACTTTTTTATATTATGGAGAAAAATATTTCTTAAGATTTGCCCTCTATTTAGTCTGCCGTGGGTTTATTTACTTTTCATAAAAGGATCCTGAAAAAACAGATCTTGAAATATTATGATAATATACACAAACATAGTAAGAAGCACTGTTTTCAGTGTTAATAATAATGTAATGTTTCTTGAGCACCAAATCAGCATATTAGTATGATTTCTGAAGGATCATGTGACATTTAAGACTGGAGTAATGGCTTTTGAAAATTCAGCATTGCATCACAGAAATAAATTTAAACATATATATATA